ATTACCTGACGCTTCTCCCAATGTGTGCACTGCAAAGAGGTGGCGATTTATGAATTACCTGACGCTTCTCCCAATGTGTGCACTGCAAAGAGGTGGCGATTTATGCGATCACCTGATGAGCAGAGAAGCAGCTTAGCTTATTATAAATAAAGCATTCTGCTTTCCTCAAAATGAAATACAAGAGAAATTCGGAATTCCCTGAAAATAGCTTTATGTGCTTCGTGGGTATGAATGTTCTTCCTGAATGCATGTTTGTGCACCATGTGTGTGCCTGGTTCCCAACATGCCTGTGTGTGTGCCATGTGTGTGACCGACTCCAGTGGAGGTCAGAAGAGGGCTCCCCAGGAACTAGGCCTATAGATATTTGTTAGCTGCTACAGGGATGCTGAGAACTGAGCCAGGTAAAGTGCAAACATGCCCTTAACTTCTGAACCACCGATTTCCTCAGCCGATAATTGCCACGTTTGTTTCGACAATTCATCTATTGCCTTCCTTAAAATGTACAGTTTGTCTGCATTCTTGCTGTCAAAGTTTCAACACACAAAACTACACAATGTTTGCTAAGTATGTCTTGGCTTAAACGCTAGACTTGCTTGCTTTTGTAGATGTGAGTTGTGAAATTGGTCTCCTTATTTTGGAAGCTTTGGGCCAGATCTGACACTGACTCTCCCGTGACGACATTTTAAAAATGAATCCTTAATATGTGTTTACTCATTTCACATGAGTAATTGTGTACAATTACTAATTGAATACACTTTTAAGATAGTTAATGGGAACTCACAGTTGATTGTTTCCATGCTGGTGATTTCCCTTAAATCAGAGGATAATCACTGTAAATCCATTTCAGATTCGCAATGCTGATATGGTCATTTTTGCTGTTTTGTTTTTCCCGATTCTTTTGGACTAGGAGCTTTGTTCCCAAAGGCCAAGGCAGCTGTGTGGCCGGGATTTGAAAGGATCTAAAGTGGCTTCCTGTCGGTTGCTGGGTTCGATGTTTGCTGCAGGGGGCTACTGAGCCTGTTTGTCTTAATGTTCTTGCATGGGGAACGTTGACGGAGAGCAAGAGGGATAAGTGGGCTGTGAGCTTATCTTTGTTCAGCAGCCCGCTACCCTTCGGAATCTAGATCATCATGTTTGCTCGTTTGGAACCTCTTTTTCATTAAAAGGCCTGGGAAAACACAATCTATGAGCAGTATAATAATAAACAGTAGAAGGACACTATCTTCTGTCATGGTCAGAGTCCATGGGGTCTCAAGGCCCAGCACTGAAAGGCTAAAGTTGGAATTCCAGGGACACATGACGCATGAGTATGCATAGTGAGTTTGGGACAAGAAGCCTTCCTGATGTCCCATGAGTGAACGTCCTTGCTTTGCTTCGTTCTTCTGAGTGAACTTCCCTCTTTCTTGTGACCTACGTCATATTTATATTTTTGAAGAACATGCTGGAGTGAATCCAAGGTGGCTCTACCGTTTCTCTGCCGTGGGTGCCCCTGGAGCAGCACCCTGCAGAGCAGAGCTCCTATCTCCGCGCCGCCATTACTAGAGACAAGTGTGCAGCCATTTTAATGTTATGGACAGCTTGGCAAGTCATAAGGAAGTCAATTTTTCAGTTGTTTCGGGTGGGGAGTGCTTAAATACTTGTGTTGTTTCATATCTCCAATCTATTTCTGTCTCTGCAGATTTCTGAGATTCGGTTTCTTACGTAATTTCACTTGTCGAGCAAGCCAGTCAAATCTGTCCCTGGTTGAGGCTATGCTGGCCTAGCTTCCTGTGCCGTCTCCCAGAGTCAGGCTCCGCAGACATGCAGACTTGCTCTTGAGAAACAGGAAGGCCTTGAGAGCTGGGATTTCACTCCCAAGTATAAGATACAGAAATGTTGGGAAACAGAGACAGGGGAATCTCTGAGGCCAGCCTGATCTACACAGGGAGTTCTAGGACAGGCTTCAAAACCCACAGAGAAACCCTGCCTTGAAAAACCAAAAAGAAAAAAAAAATGAGCCAGAAATGACGGATAATTGCTAACTTTGGTCCAAACCTTTGTTTATGTATTTCTTGCATCCTCTTTCCCCAGATCCAAAAATCTCTGCTCTGGTACCTATGTCTCACTTTGCATTTCATCTTCTTGTTCTCTTAAATAATCGCTTCTCTGTGCATAGTCGGGTCCAGACATTTGGTTATGCGAAAGTCAGTGTTTAGACTGAAGAGAATTTAAGAAGACTTTTTAAAAAATTACTGATTATTACTGATCTTGATTCGTGAAAAGAAGAACTGAGGCTGAAAGGTCTATTTCTTCGGCTCTGTCCCACTTTTTGCAGACTTCCCTACCATCCTAACTGTTGTGGCTGGCAGTGCATGCTCCGTAATCAGAGGGAAAGCTGGGTTTCTGTCGTGGACTTGCTTCCGCGATCGATCAGGTTCAAGCCGGGGCGCGTGACTTGCACGTCCACTACTGTGCCTAGCTCTTTTCTAATTCTTGGAAGAACTCAGAGGGCCAAGGAATTTACTCTACTGTCCCGTCGAGGTAGGATGGCTACCTTTAAGATTCAAGAACATGTAGGTGAAATGGCGCGTGTCTGAAGCAGTATGGGCAAGAACATTAGCCCTTTCGTTGCCACATGGGGGAATTCTGGGAAATCTTGAAAGGACTGAGAGAGATGTGGGGATCATGGAGGAATAGCACTCACAGACTTGCCACCGACCGATTTGCATGGGCCATACTTCACTGTTTAATCAAGTATTTGGCAAATCAGGTGAACGGTTGTTTAGTAAACACATAGCCCCGTGATCCAAGCCCTCTATCTTATTTGAAAGATATATATTTTTGAGACCCTGACAATGTGTTAATCAAATAATTAGAAGCCTTAAAATGTCAGGGCAATTTGGATGCTTTTACGTAACTCCCAGCTCTATTCCTGGATGTGAAGACTATGGTCATCCACTGTCTTCTTCCATTAGCGGCAAGGACTGACTTGGCTTCTCAGAACTCTTCCCTTTGATAGGAGGGGTTAGGTCGCGGGTTGGCTTCCCCAGAGAGGAGAAAGAGGGCTCTGAGGAGTGCAATGTGTTTTTACTCAGACAAGTTTATCGGGCACCTGGAAGATGTTCCGTGTAGAGGCAGAGAGCAAGAGGCAGAACATGGGTTCAAGGGGCCAAATGGGCCATGTAGCCATACTGTATAAGTTGGGTTCTCTATGCCCCTGCTTCCCTGTGTTATCTTAGGCAAGTTACTATTGCCTTCATTTCCTGGCTGATCATTCTTCGCTGTTAGGAGTATTAAATTAATACACACACGCTAAGCACGTTGGAGGTACCTGATACACAAAGCTGGTAATTACTGCGGCTCAGGGTTACGCGCAATCCGTCGGACACCCATTAAAGCACCCCAGAATTCACTTTCACCAGTAAAGTACGCTCAGTACGAATACACAAACACGGGCATCCGGGCAGAATACAAATAAGCCTAGACACGAATTAAGAGCCAGGAAGCGGAGCAATGAAGAACGAAGCCAAGGGTTTGCCGAGCCTCCTTTTAAGAAAATTGTGGGTTGTTTGTTAGTTGCTTAAGAGGGGAGGAGGCCACTGAGGATGGCGGTCTGAGCAAAGGGAAGCAAGCTCCAGCAGGACGTAGGCATGAGTCCACCGGAATTGCAGGGCAGATCAGGGTTCTGCCTTTGGTTAAGGTGGTGGGGAGTCGCTGGATGGGTACCCAGAATTACGTGACATCCTTTTACGTGACTCAACTTCTCCTTTCTGTTTCGGAAGAACCCACTGTAAGTGCGGCTTTAAATGGGGGTGCGGTGGGGGGAGTTATGCAAAACACTTTGCACATAGCCCTAAAGTTCAGATTTGTCCGGAGACTGGAACGGTGGCTGGGGCAGAAGGGGAGGAGTTAATTTAATATAAATGTCTAACCCGTGTGCAGATCAACATCCTAACTGATCCCTCGGAAACCTGGGGGCTGAGGCGTTCGCTCTCCGGGCTTCCAGGTCTCACCATTCAGCCCAAGGCCTCAGCCACCAACGTGCGAGGCGACCGAGGGCGCTCCACGCATGCGTTAGAAGCCGCCCCGACTCCCTCCCACCCCTCACCTCCCCCCCCCCCCCCCACCGCGTCCTTTCTCGGAACAAAACTAGCGCGGGGCTTCAGAGCTCCGCAATCTGCGTAGATTGAATTTCTTCTCCCGCGGCTGCCGCGGCTTCGCCCTACGCCAGGAGCGTCCGCAAAGCGAATGGCTGGGCGCCCCGGG